CATATGGGTACTCAAATGAAAGCTCTTGATGAGTGTAACATTAGGATAAGCTTATATTTTTGAAATATATATTACATTATTAAGAAATGACCTTGTGTCTTGTGAACTATTGACATTTTTAAAGATATAAGCTCATCCCGATGTTACACTCATCGAGACCTTTCATTTGAGTACCCACATCAATTTTTCATATATTTTATATATTTATATATATTATATATATGTATGTATGAAAAATATATCAAAAATGCATGTTGGTACTCAAATGGAAGGTCTTGATAAGTGTAACATCGGGATGAGCTTATATCTTTAAAATCGTGAATATTTAAGAAAGTACAGTGCAATTTAACAAAAGTCATTTAATATAGCAAAATTTTAATTTTTTAGTTCACAAGTCACAGCAGTCACATAGTGACTGCAAAGTTGTTAGTTTACAATTATTTTATTTATTAATAATAAAAACTTTTTTTTATATAGTTTATTATGTTAAAATACATTTTTTTAAGGTTTTTATTTTTTTTTTTTTTCTAAGAAAGATGCAGTGATGAATTATGTCATAAAATAGATGCAAAATACAAAAAACTCAAGTGTTTATTACTTTTTAATTGTAAAATCTAATTAATTGAATAAAATTAAAATATCACAATTTTTTTTTTTTCTAAAAAGTGAATAAAAAAATTTTTTAATAATTCACAATATAAAATTAGCATGATAAAACACTGTAACAAAATTTCATACTTTAATTAAAAGTACGCACTCTGTAATATCAGGAGTCACATTAGTACTGATCACAAAATACCCAGGTGATAATGCCGTCACACTGATATTCCAATGTAAATTTTCATTATTTTTAGTTATGTTGAACACTGAAGGTCTTATTTTAACTAAACCTGCTTGTGTAGAGCTCAATATCACAGTCGCTTCATTAGGTAATTTTTCTCTGCAGAAATAAAACAATACGTCATACATAACACTACGAGATCAAATATTGACGCAACATTAGAATCAAATCACTCACGTCAAATAAAGATCAAATGATTTTTCTTCACCAACTAGAAATCGCAAATCTTGTGTGTCAACTGTGAAGCCAGCACTTGCGTAATGCAAAACTACAGAAATAAAATTATTGTTACAAAAAATTTAAATTTTTGTCTTTGTTTTTAGGATACAGTACCTTGAATAAACAAAAATAATGAAAAAATCATGATTTTTCAGGACGTCAGTATTTGAAATTTTAATAATTTTACCCGAAAAACTCCGTAAAAACATAAAAATAAGAATAATTGTCTGAAAAAAAAAGTCCCAAATAAATTTACAAAGAATCTACCGACTAATAAATACAATATTAAACGCATGCGCGTTTTGGTAGCTAACCAATGAACGTTTCTCAAAATTTTCCAAGATTACTGAATAGGCATACCTGTTATTTAATTTAACTCGGATTATAAAATTTAATCTGAGAATAAAGTCTGGGTGAGATAAACAAAATTTTTGATCAATAAAACATTAATTACCCGCAGCTTGTACCGTGACAGCACACTCACTCCCAGAAGCAAATCTTTCATGATAATTAATCACGGCGATGATGATGATGATAACGAAAATATGATAATACGGATTAAAATTATTGCACTCATAAACGCTGTTTAGAATGACAAAGACATTTAAATGACGCAAATGTGATCTTAAGATAAATTTATTATTTTTATATCTAAAGAATTGTCGCTGCTTATTATTGCTGAGTTTCATTCAAATTCTAATACTCATTAGAATAATAATACTCCAATCAGTACTTGAAATTTTTTTAAATCCTAATTAGTTTAAAAAAGTAGTCTTTTTTGCAAAAGAAATTTTAGTAATTGATTTTTTAATGTAAAGTAATTTAAAAGATAAATTTTGAAAGTTTTTTATTAATTAAGAAGACTATAGAGTTCTTATCTTTACTTTTAATTGGAAAAAATAATTAATATTTTATTTACTCATATTTTTAAATTTTAAACAATTTTATTTCTTAGCTAAAGAAATTAATAAAGACTACTTCAAAAATTACACAGTAATATTTTTGAGAAAAATTATTTAAATCTCAGTAAAATAAATAATTTAAAATTTAATTAGCCAGTGATAGATTTATCATCTTTCCATATAAATTTATTTTTATTAAAAACTAAACATAGTGTATATATACTTAAAATATAAGTGTAAGTATACTAATATATATATATATATAGATGGAGGTAAAGCTGTCTACAGTTAATACCAGTTATATTAAATATATTTATATATATGTATTTCATTTGTGATATAATTTAGAATAAATATTAATAATTTTAATATTAATAATAAATTATTAACTCATGATTATTATAATATATTTGAAATAAACAATATGATAGAAAAAAAAAAAAAAAAAACAAAATTAAAATTCATTGATATTTAACTTTGTAAAAATTCATCGAAATCTGTAGAATCATCTTCTAAAACAATTTCTTCTAGTGCAGGGCCTTGCTGTGATGTTGCTCCTCCTGAAAATAGACATATAATTATATAATTAATAATTACAATTAATGTCTAAATAGAAAAGCAAACTTACGTGGTACTACACCCGTCGCTTTATAATTTTCAATTTCACCTCTGAATACTTCATCAAATGTATCTTGTCGCTCTTTCAACATTTTTTGTTGCCTCAATTCTTTCCACAATACGCGTTCAGAATGTTCACTAGCTAATGCGACTAAATTAACAGAAAATAATAATACATTAAAAACTTTTTAAATTTTAAGAAATTGGTGTTAAATATTATTTATTAATAAATACCTCTGTAGTTATCTAATTCGGATAATTTTTTCTCTTTATATAACGCCAACTGGAATCTATGATCCAATTGTTTACTTTGGAGCTCAAGAGTTTCATTTAAATCTTCTAATTTAAATAATGCAGCCTCAACTTCTTCAAAAGCTTCTTCCAGAGTTCCTGAAATAAAAATTTGCTTTATTAAATAATGACTTTTGTTAAATTGCACTGTACTTTCTTAAATATTGACGTTTTTAAAAATATAAGCTCATCTCGACGTTACACTCATCAAAAGCTTTCATTTGGGTACCCACATGCATTTTTGATATATTTTTCATATATACATATATATAATATATATAAATATATGAAAAACTGATGTGGGTACTCAAATGAAAGGTCTCAATGAGTGTGATATCGGAGTGAGCTTATATCTTTAAAAATATCAATATTTCACAAGATACAAGGACATTTCTTCATTATTGATATTTTTTATGATATAAGCTCATCCCGATGTTACACTCATCAAGAGCTTTCAGTTGAGTGCCCACATGCATTTTTGATATATTTTTCATACATACATATATATAAATATATGAAAAATTAATATGGGTACTCAAATGAAAGGTCTCAATGAGT